TGAGGAGTTGAATTAGGGCTGGAGCCCTAATTCCTCATTTGCTGTAAATGATAAAGCACTAGCAGTGCTTACCAGGGCTCCCAAACACAGGCTCAGTGAAGTGGGACAGGGACTGTGAAAGAGGGAAGGAGTTATAACCACGAGGTATTTAGGAAATGCTCCAAACAAGACTCATTCAGTACTTCTTCTGCTTAAGAGCTACCTGGAGCCTATGAACAGAGGCAAAAAAAAAGGAGCTCCTCTCCTGCTTTGATCGTGGTTTTACTTTGAAAAACTACCTGACTTGAGTTACCAACTATTTAGTGAAGACATGGTGTAAAAGGTTCATTTTTTCTCACTACTTGCATACAAAGACATAAACAATTGGAAAGTCACCAAGATGTATGTATATCTAAAGTGAATTTCATCACAGGGGTTTTTTTCTCGCATTATAAAGATTAAAGACTGACTTCCCTGAAATGGAGAAAAACACAGCAGCTGCAAAGAAGTTTCACTAGAATCATACTGTTGTGCCACTCAGAACATCAGGCAACAAATTAAAACTCTTTCACTGAGTAATTGCGTTGTCAGAGAAACTGTAATGCTCTGCTCGGAAATGACAGCCTCTTGCAACTTAACGCATTAACCTAGAGACAATATAAATTAATCTTGCTATAGTTACTGGTGGCAGATGAGGGAGTGACACCAAGCTGAGAAAGATGTTGATGACAGAATGTGAGAGACAGATACAAGGCAGAAAAACAAGAAAACAAGAAACAAACCTGAAGCATCTCTGTCATACATATAAAAATAATAACTCTTTATCAATTTGGATTCATTCTAATTGTCTACTGCAGTGTAATCATAGCACATTTTAAATGACAGGCTGGTTAAATAAATTCCTGTGGGAGGTGGTCCCTTCTCTGTGACCATGGGACATTTAACTAAGAGATGTTAGCAATGCACTTCATTAACAGTGATGGCTGCAATACAGCAGAGGAGAGGAATTCTACACATTGCTCTACAAATTTGGGAATAGGCAGATGTCCCCTAGAAGTGCTAACTAACTGCACTTGCTGTGACAAAGGGGGCTTCTGAGCATCGGAGAACTGAAACACTACGAAGAAGCAATCAATAACAGCATGAATGTGATTGTAAAAACAAGGCAGATGATTCTGTACTCTGACTTAACTTCCAGCAAGCATGTTTGGCACAAACACTTGTTAGCCAAGAACAATGAATTTTTACTTTTTACAATACCTATGCCAGTAAATGTGATTACTCAACTACCTGCAGGAAGCAAATGCCCAGCAGGCACAAGCAGGTTCTAATGTCATTCACTCACAAGTTTTGAAAAACAGTCAAAGAACCACAAAGAATCCCAACTTTAATAACAGCTTTCTATATTTTCTAATACAGAGATTATCCCATTAACCTCTGCTGCTGAATATTTTCACATGGCATTCTCTGAACTAGAAGAAAGCTGTAGAGCACATCTTCCTGTGCCCCAGTCTCTCCAGACCTAGAGAGCTTCTCCAGCTCTCTCAAACAGTACTAGCGCTACATGTCACTTTTTTCTTTTTTTTTAAGGAAAAAAAAAAAAAACAACCAAACCAAAAAAACAGAAAATGTTTAAGAGCCTTCAGTCTGTTTTTAACCTGAGACACAAATGGCTGTGATGGAGTTTTATTTTATTTGTATTCCTGCGTACCCACAGTGCCCAAGCCACTTTCACATCGCTAAAACTTGAAATTCTCCATTTACACAGTCCTGTGATGTTAGCAAATCATCTGCATGGGTACCTATACCCTCTTACTATATGGTTTCATTCCACACCATTCGAGAGTGATGGGAACTTGAGGGAGACTTCAGAGTCTCTCTGCAAAGCGCCTAAAGCAACCTTGTAGCAATTTAATAATATAGGAGATTGTTATTCTCCTAACAAAGTGCCAGCACAGATGTAGCATGACAGAGCAACTCAGTGATTATTATTTATACCTACTGCAATAGGCCAGAATTGGTGCCAGACTTAGGATGGCCAGTTAAGTACTACATATACCTTAATTCTACCTATTACCTTCACTTCCTTCAACAGATGGAACATTTAAAAACTCAATTGTACCAGATATTCTTTCATCTTGCATACTTCCGCACACAGAAAAAAATCATGATCTGGTCATTCAGAGCAAGTATGCAAATATGAAATAATTTGTCTCTTACCTGTAATGTCACTGGTACATCTAACCTGAATAGCACAACTGAATAGCTAATTTATTTCTCATTCAAACTGAAACAACAGATAAATGAAATGATGGGCCCAGCAGCAGAGATGAAACAGGAGCCTGTGTTCCTGCCTTGGTGAAGTGCCTTTTATTTTAAGTTGCTTCACCAGAATTTATATTTTTCTTTTTTAGTTTTGATGCTTAAAATTACACTTTTCAGACTCAATATATCTAAAATTAATTACACATTATATATTTACCCATGCATGTATGTGCTGTGAAAATAAAAACTGTTCTTATGTGTGATCTGAACCTGAAAGATTCAACAGTCTGCAAGCCCTGGCAGCACTGTGCAGTTGCCTGCAACTACAAAGGATCTTGCAGAGGAAGGGTGGGTTGACAGGGAAGAGACCCTGGCTTTTCCAGATGGTTGGCATTTCATGGGAGCAGAAAACAGCAAGGAGAATACAGAAAGAGTACTCAATCTCCAAAGCTCAGTTACTGAATATGGTTCAATGTCCAGATGGAGATCAGTGACAAGTGGTGTCCCTCAGGGGTCTGCACTGGGACCAGTACTGTTTAGTATCTTCATCAATGACAAAAGCAGTGGGCTGAGTGCACCTTCAGCAAGTTTCAAATGACACCAAGCTAAGGAGTGCGGCTGACACACCTGAGGGAAGGGATGCCATCCAGAGGGACCTGGACAAGCTTGAGAAGTGGGAGTGTGTGAACCTCAGGAGGTTCAACAAGGCCAAGGGCAAGGTCCTGCACCCAGGTTGGGGCAACCCCCAGTATCAATACTGGCTGCAGGATGAAGGTATTAAAAGCAGCCCTGAGAAGAAGGATTTGCGAGTACTGGTGGATGAAAAGATGGACATGACCCAGCAATGTACACTCGCAGCCCATAAAGCCAACGGCATCCTGGGCTGCATCAAAAGAAGCACGATCAGCAGGTTGAGGGAGGTGATTCTCCCCCTCTACTCTGCTCTTGTGAGACCCCACCTGGAGCACTGTGTCCATCTCTGGGGTCCTCAGCACAGGAAAAACATGGACTTTTTCAAGTGGGTCCAGAGGAGGGCCACACAGATGATCAGAGGAATAGAACACCCCTCTTATGAGGACAGACAGAGAGAGTTGGGGTTGTTCAGCCTGGAGAAGAGAAGGCTCTGAGTCAACCTTATTATGTCCTTTCAATACTTAAAGGGGGCTTACAAGAAAGACAAGGACAAAGTGTTTAGTAGGGCCTCTTGAGATAGGGAAAGGAGTAATGGCTCTAAACTAAAAGAGGACAGGTTTAGACTAGATATATGGAAGAATTCTACAACAATGGTGGTGTTGAAACACTGGAACAAGTTGCCCAGAGAGGCTGTAGATGCCCCATCCTTGGAAACTTTCAAGGTCAGATTGGACAGAGCCCTGAGCAACCTTATCTAGTTGAAGATGTCCCTGCTCATCGCAGGGGGGGTTGAACTAGATGACCTTTAAAGATCTCTTCCAACCCAAACTACTCTATGATTCTATGAATATGTACACTCTTGTCTTGGATGGTATTACCTCCGTATATGTATATTAATGTCACACTGGAACTGCCAGGGCAGTTCAGACTGTCAGAAAATATTGCAGTGCCCTTGGTGATCCAGTTCCTCCCATGAATGTCCCATAAAATTGTTTTCATATTGATGGACCATTTTTTGAGGGACCAGAGGAGCTGTCATGGGGCTTGTACAAGTTGATCATATCCATCCCACTACAAACTGATGCCTTGGTGTAATTGATAAGTTGGACTTTGTTTTTTTTTGGCAGGAGTTTTCTGCAGATTCTGAAAAGCTGATGAAAACACAAGCTGATGTCTTTCACATTTGTTCTTTTCCACACCATTATATTCATAGACTGGACAACTTTTTTCTGCTTAACTTTGATTCATTAGAAAACTGGTCCTGTGGCTTCACTGTGTATGTGCTACCACACAGTACCTCTGCTCATAGCCAAAGGTGAGAATTCAGCGACCCCTTGTTATTCATTAAATATGTATACAACAACTGGAAAGAAATAACAGGAAAGAGATTCGCAGATGATTGCACAACAGCTGTCTTTGCTAGGCTTGATCTCCAGCCTACAGGAAACAATAGAAACTTTCACATTAGTTTTAGAGAGGTTTAGATCTCTTCCACAGTAACCTAACTACAGGTCTACTACATGCATGTATCCTGCATCAGGATTCTGACAGCTGAGCTTCTCCTTTTCAGCTGATCTCCCGTTCCTTAGGAGTTCAATGTTTTATGCAGAAAATTTACTTGTTTTCTAAGAAATAAGCACCACTGTCTTCACGAAAACTTGCGTAGGATTCATCTTATTTGATGCAGATGTCTTCCCTGTTCGTCTGAACTAGTGATACTTGGCTTCCTCCAGAGCCAATACAATACGGAGTGAAAAAGCCACTTCTATGGCATGATCTATCTGACCTCCATAGATGTGTACTTTTGCATGTCAGGAAGTGTAAGAAAAGCCTTTTTCTCTCAACTGATTATCAGAAATCCTAGCATGAATAAGTCTGATTTAGATTATCTACCCTGTAGACATCTGTCCTTGATCAAATGATCCCACCCCAGGTGGCCTGAACTGGACAGCTAGTAGACAAACAACTTTACTAGTCATTTTTGTGTAGTAACTGTTTAAGCAAAAATAAAATAGAAGATAATGTCTGTGGAATAAACAATCTAGTGTTTTCTCCCTTTTACTGCTGTGATACAAAGTCAGCAGCTTAGCAATCTAAACAGAGACGGCTTATCAAGCCCTTACCTTTGGGGATAGTAATCTGACAGCCCAGATCGCAGTCCTGCTGCAACTGATAAAAAGCCACTTCCTGCAGCCGAGCACGCTCCAGCTCCGAGAGGCTTTGAACGGGAACTGACTTCAGCCGAACACTGCGCCCTGACATGCTGTTCCAAGTGAAATCACCCTACAGGAAATCAAATGGAAAAATATGAAGCATCATATGGTATGCACGGTTTAATAAACAGAACCACCTCTTTTACTGCTAGGAAAAACAGCACAGGTCCTCTTTTCTAAAAGGCCATTTTCTTGGACATCTCTAACCTTTCGAATATCCTTGTTTTCCTAACAGCTGCAGTCCTTAAAAGGAGCACAGGCATGCAAAACAAAAAGTCAATTCTATCTGAAACCATTTAACCAAGTATTGTTGCAAAAACACTAGGATTCCAGCAACCAAAAGCAAGAAAAAAAGCCCTTGTCTGCTCTTCCCAGTTTGCTTTCTTTGTACAGTACTTGGTTGTCACTTCATTCCTTTCCCTGCAGAGTCAGTCAGATACACAGACCTCCACAGCTCAGGTGGACAACGTGCATTTTACCTCCATCTTGCTAATCCCACTCCACCAGGCTGTTCAGAGTGTACACAGGCAGAGCCCCTTCTCTTTCCTGACACATCGCATCTCCTTATGACAATATTGTGTTTAGACCACCATTGACTAAAGGACAAGCTGTTTCATATTTTTGAAAAGCCATAATAACAACATATGTGTTAAAATTTATACAGGAAAACAACATGACATATGCTACATCTCTGTAAGGTACCAATTATGCTTGCAAAACAAATCAAAAGCTTTAGCTGGTCTATCTCCCACCTGTGATAACATAGACAAAAAGCTATTCTCTCAGCTAGTATTTAGCTTGCGTGAGAGAAGTAATCATCAGTCAAAGACAAGTGCAAGCACACAGACAAGCTTAAAGGCTGACAATTAACTTCAAGCAAGAATTTCAGAATTCATCAAAGCATCACCAAAGAGCACATTTTAGCACTACAGGGAAAGAAAGAAGAATGTTTTTCATCCTAACCATGTTAAAAAATAAACATCAAACTTGTCAGCAGGTATAACCTGATGCAGCTGTAGATAATGGAAAAACTTTGATCTACATCAGCTGAGCTGTAAAGACAAATCCACAACCTACCCTTCATCACTACATGGCAGACTTACAATTAATGAACTTCACTCTCATTTTAAGTGCCCATTTTCAGTTTAAATTTCAACATCTGTACCTTCAGTGTGTGCTTGTTTTTTCACCATTCACTTGTAATTCATCTGTTCTACACATGCATCTGCAGTCAAAGGATGTCCACTGACTTTAGAAGACATCAGATAAAGCTCCTGATGATGAAAATCTGTAAAATTTGACTTATCAGCTATGTATCCTGTTGTATGCAAACATGTTTGTGCACATTTCCATATATTCTGCCTATATATGTGTATGGGTATATATATGTGCACACACAACCTGTATACACACATACACATACCTATATATGCATACCTATGGCTCTGTGTATTCACATATATGAGACAAAAATAATTCACAAATATGGAGTACCATCTAGCAACACAGATCAAAGGAAGTACACATTAAACACCGCTTCTTATGATAGAAGAAGTATGTTTGAGTTCATCACACAAGCTTTTTTCACTGTATTTTTTGTAAGTCATTAGTCAACCATAATAGATAAAGCTGTTACCTCAGTGCTCGATATCTTTATGATATTTAAATACACAACACATATATACACATACGCAAACTTCTGTGCTAGCTCAATATTTGACTACTGGAATTCGTTCCTTCATTTCTTGCCCCTTCATCTCTTCTCGCTCTTCTAGTGCCTTACTAGGTTAGCTAGATTTAGTGATCTCCACCTAAGGTTTGCATGGTGACACAAGCCGAGCTGACTAGCCTAACTCAAGCAAAACCAAAGCAGCAAGAGTCACATAAACCTTATTTGCAAAACTGCAAGTAAACATTTACATTTTTTAAAAAGCCGTTGTCATTTATAGATAAAAGTGATCTAGAACAGAATCCACAACCAGACAATGTATACTAAGAAACTAAATCCTTTCCAACCCTGATAATGCAAAAGAAACTTTACAAGTACAGAAGTATGCAATTCAATCCTCATGAACATATAATGTACAAAACGTTCTACAGTCAAAATGGTACAGAGAGAAAAATACAAGTCTTTATGGTAGAGTTGGGGGGGATTTTATCTTATCTACTTCTCTGAGATGAGCATTTTCACAAACAAAAATATCACCAATTTGTCTACCATAAAAATTTTCAAACAGAGATATTTAATTTTGAAACATGAATGGGATGCAAAAAGGATACCCATTAGAAAATGTTACGGTAACAGAATACTGAAGACCGTAAACTTTTTAGGATATGTCCTCTTTCCTGTACGGCACAAAAACAAAGGAGTGTGTGGGTTTTTTTGGAATTACCACAAGTAAAATAAATATTCCTTAACTGAATTTTGCATGGACACATGAATTATTGCTCTTTTTCAGATAAAAATTGCCAAGGGCAAATTAACTCTGGAGGTAACTCCACATTCTCTGCCTTATCTCTGAGTTAGCTCGGTAACTGCAAGCAGTGAGCTGTACCACTGCAATGCTGCAGCTCAACTGGCAGCCCAGCCAAACCAGTTGAACCCGGAGAGACAGGGCTTGCTAGCTCTAGTACAGACCTGCATTAATATTCTGCTTTGGAGACCCCAATAAGCCTCTTCGCACAGAGCCATGCTGCTTTACATGAGCAAAGCAGCCAACTCAGCACTGGTTCAGAACCCCTACCCAGGCTAATTTCACTGTAATATGGGAGCACCCCACTTAATTTTGTTTAGAAGAGGTCAAGGGTTTAATACCAAGCGAAAGAAGAAAGCTCCCAAAACGATACTCAGGGCTGTTCCTTCCAACCAGGTTTTTTATTCTGGTGGTCTGCATGCTCCCAGTATGTCCCTGGTGCCCACTGGGTTGGCCCTGTCTGGCTAAAAACAGTGGGATGCAAGCTCTGCACCTTCCAATGCCAGGACAGGTCACTGAGCAGCAATAAAGAATGTTGGAATCACTCTGCCCAGTTGCTGTGCACTAAATAAAACATTTCTCTTTTACACTCGATGGGATAAAATCTCTGCTAGGTCACATTAACATAGGTTTTTACTACGCTAATAGAACACATGACTAATTAACTAAAATATTTTTAGAAGATTGTGTGTTAGGGCCAGTGGAATCTCCTTATCTGCTGAGGAAGTGAGAGGCTCAAGAAATGTTTCCTTGAAAAAGTCTGTTTTCTTTGGCAAATAAGTATCCGTGTCTTATATGAGCCAAAACACAGTATTTGATAATTTATCCTATTCACAGATTCCTATGCTTTGCGTGTCACAAGGTACATTAAAAACCTCATCTTCCTTCTAAAGCAGTGTTTGATTTTATGAACACCCTGTAAATTACTGCAAAATCAGCCAGGCTTGGGAGAGGTCCAGAAAAGTCAAGCTCCCTTGGAGAACAGGTGCTGGTGCAATTACATCAGTCACATCTGCCAGAAGCTATTCTCCCCTGTGTGGGGCAACCAGAGGAGGGAAAGGGCAGGACAAGCATGGAGAATATTTTATGTTTCTCTCTCCACGTGAGGCACATTTCATCAGCCTAACATAGCTTCTTGCAGAAGCTTAAGAGGAGCAGAAGATCTTTAAGCACCAAGTCAGAGTGACTTGGTTTCAGAAGTTCATGCCCTGCATAGGTGTTCAGACGTTAACACATGGCTTTTTTTCTGTTACTTATAATTGCAGGATTGTAGGTCAGAACATGACCTGCAAATGGCTCCTTCATCACCAGGACAAAAAACCAAACCAAAACAAAAAAAAAAAAAAACAAACCCAAAAACCCCACAACCAAAAAAACCCAAGAGAACCCAGACAAACCAAAAAACCCACCACAAAAACAAACAAAGAAGAGTGCAAACAGAAATACTGCTCCAAGACAAAGTATCCACCTGTTAGGACACAAACTGCTAACTGCAAAAGTGTTTTCACAAATTACTTTTATGAAACTTTAAACCAGACTGAAAGCCTTCTCTGGTTTCTTCTACCAACCAGTCACTTCTTTCCCCCTCACAAGTTTCCAGCTTCAGCTGCCTTTTCTCTCTGGCTCTCCCACTAACATCTAACATCTTACCTCTTTCCTCCACTCAACCAAGCAGTTCATTTATTGGGTAAGTAACTTAGACACCAGAGCAGATGAGTCAGCAAAGGAGATGACTGATTAACTGCATCTTGTGCCTTTGAAGAATCTGTCCACTTTTCCTGTATTTCTTGTCCAAAGTCATAAGTGCATTTTTAATAAGATGCAGACTGCAGTTTTACTAATATTCTTTACAGTTTTTTTTTTTTTTTTTAGTGAGTTGGATGTTCAGGGGCTCCAAAATAAACACTAAGTGGTACATCCTGACTTAAGTAACACCATGCGCTTAAATTACGCTTGAGCATGTGTAGGCTACTCTTGTGTACCTGACCTCTTTCTCCTGAGCCTCCAACACACAGTCTTTCAGATGTGTTTTAGTGAAGTCTCGTTCTCCCGTCACTTGTACAATACAGAAACCGGTTGACAACTACTGCAAGGAATCTTGAACGTAGATGCAAATCTATGGGCAATGATGAACCTCTGTTGATCTCTGTGTTGTTTTAATGAGTAACATGGATCGTGCACAGGGTGGAAAATAAGAACCCACTCACAGGGTGGTTTTCAGTAACACATTTTAATGCAAGATGGAGAAAGCCATTTTTATCTTACCGCATTATTGTGATCATTAATGACTTCAGTCTGTTCTCATTTAGGTAAATGCCATTATCGGATTAGCTGTCTACTTTTCATTAGTCTTTTGCTCAAATCCATTTGAAACCACTAAGATCAAAACCAATTATGTCTACTTGTTTTCCTCCTACCCTAGCAACACTTAGCTATATGCTTTTATTTAGATGGGTCTTTACTGTAAAAGAATTCAGTATTCTTGCACACAAAAAGATTATATAGCAAATAACATGGCAAATACAGCATTACAATGTCTTAATTCTGTTAGCTTAATTACTTCTTTAAGCTTAATGAAACTGCATATCATTGCCAC